ATCCCGGTGTTTAAACTTACCGTTATCAGTTATTATCCCGGTAATATTTCATATGTTTAAACTTACAGTTATCAGTTATTATCCCGGTGTTTAAACTTACCGTTATCAGTTATTATCCCGGTAATATTTCATATGTTTAAACTTACCGTTATCAGTTATTATCGCGGTAATATTTCATATGTTTAAACTTACCGTTATCAGTTATTATCGCGGTAATATTTCATATGTTTAAACTTACCGTTATCAGTTATTATCCCGGTAATATTTCATATGTTTAAACTTACCGTTATCAGTTATTATCCCGGTAATATTTCATATGTTTAAACTTACCGTTATCAGTTATTATCCCGGTAATATTTCATATGTTTAAACTTACAGTTATCAGTTATTATCCCAGTAATATTTCATATGTTTAAACTTACCGTTATCAGTTATTATCCCGGTAATATTTTATATGCTGAGAGATGAATTTGTATATTTTCACTTAATAGTATATCTTTATTTTTAGACATTGCTATTTTAAAACAGTTATTCTCAAACTAGGAGTCGCAGACGATAACTTGTATTACAGCTTCTTAAATTTCTTTATCGTCTAAAAAAACAAGAACCGTATTCTTTCCAGAAAGTGCTATCCTAGAAAAAAAAAAGTAATTGATTTATATTTTTGGATGCCTCAAAATTGGGAGTTTGCGAGTTCTGTTCATCAAATTGACCCCCGTTCCTAATAAGCTGAAAAACTCGTGCTTTGGAATTTAATAAAAACATGTTCGCAATTCTGAAACAGAACATCAAATTTACCCTCAGCGTATTTCATTAAATATTTAGTATTTTTCACTAAAAGAATACTCTAACAGCTTGCTAAGCCTAACTCTAGGTTTGATTACTTTTTCTAAGTTAAAGTATTATTCCTGTGGTAATTTACTACGTTGAAGCATATAAAAAAAAAGCATGTTGGTTTTTACGAAAGATTAATTAATTCTTGAAGTGGGTGTTGTAACTGATACCTAAGAGCACGTGTCTGACGTATTCTCTAAAGTAATGAATTAGAATACTATATTGATGTTTACTACATAATATATATACACTTAATAAATTTAACCAAGGAAGGGTTAAAAAGAAGTGTTTTGTGGAATCCACTGTTGACTGACTTGCCATTATCTAGCCTCCATAGTATAGTCAAAGTTGTCCAGCTCGTGGCACGCGAGGCAAGACTTGCGGCACGCTTGTTATTAAGGAAATACCTCATGTTGTGTCACATAACACAGACTTTGTTTTGAATTGCTGCACATGCGTGATATGTTATTAAAATACATATATTATTACTTATGTTGGGCGAGCGTGGCCCACAAGATTAGCGTGCCGCATCGTAAATCTGTGGCTAACTCTCTTTTACCGCCAAAAAATAGAAAATCGCCCTCCACGTTTTGGGAACGTGGGGGCGTTATATATGAGCAACAGTCAACTAGCTGCCTTCTCACTAGTCTATTATTCGAAAATTCTAGACGACTAGCACAGATAGCCAGGGGTTCGATCTCCGCTGTGGACTGAGCACATATAGCCTATTGTGTGGGGTTGCGCTAAAACAAATAAACTCTTATCGATAATTATTTGTAAACTTTGTATAAATATCGTAAAATCTTATCAAGAATTGTTTGTAAACTTTGTACAGATAATTAAATAAACTGTTCTTAAGTTCATGCTTTAACCATTAGAATGCTTCATTTAATCAATTTGGTGCTCTTACTGTTAACGACATTTTCGGCCGTAAACCCAATAATACCTCACAAGGTTCAGCCAGCTTAAGAGATTAAGGTTAACCCTTAATACACATTCTAACCTAGCAATATAAAGTTATATGTTATAATGTAATATATTACAGTAAATAAACAATAGAGTATTACTTACGCTTGTCCTCTCAGTATATAACTTATACATTAAGGTGTAAAATATCAATTAATTAAAGTTTCCAATATGATAAATTTATTCAGTGACTCCTTTATATAGTAATTCTAATTTTAAATCGGGCTGTTTGGTTTAAATGACAACTGGTAATATCTCTGGTGCGAAGAAAATCAATGACATGAAGACCATCATGTGTGATCGGGACCGCCGTATTATGAAACGAAACAGGAAGACAACAGCAGTAGGTTAAACGTGGTATACGCTAGTAGCCAGATAATATTGTATATGAGTCTAGTCATGCAAGACTGTATATATAAAAGTATAATGGTCTCACACACTGTGAACTTGGGAAAAAGAGTGTCGGAATATGGAGGGATCTGATAAGTCATCACTGACTATCTTTCCAGTAACTGTTTGTTTGTTGTTAAGCACAAAACTACACAATGTGCTATTTGTGCTGTGCCTACCGCTAGTATCGAATCCCGATTTTTACGTTATACGCTCTCATACTTACCGTTGAGCTACTGATGGGCTCTTTCTTGTGGCTACACATATGTGTATCAGAAGTGACTAACGTTAGTGGAAAGTAAGAGGTTTATTGCGATAAAATACGGTTTAGATAATAATGGAACAGTTTACATCTTTTATGAAAGTAAATCAAACACTTTGGCTGTCTGATCAGTCACACACCCCATAGGGGCCTAAAACATAGGACAGAGGGGGAATGTGCCCCCCTAATGTTTCCAGTTAGTGTACATAAACTATTGCTAACAACTATGTTAGTTTGACTCCTCCCTTTCCCCCCTTCTCCAATCATTGCACTAACAAGTGGGGAAACTGTTCCATTATTATCTAAACCGTATTTTATCGGAATAAACCTGTTCCAATCATTGCACTAACAAGTGGGGAAACTGTTCCATTATTATCTAAACCGTATTTTTGTCGGAATAGATAGGCATGTACGACTGTACACATACAGATAGGCACGTGTGACTGTACATAGACATGAATGTACATGCAGGTAAGCATGCACGGCTGTACATACAAGTAGGTATGTATGACTGTACACATACAGATAGGCACGTGTGACTGTACATAGACATGAATGTACATGCAGGTAAGCATGCACGGCTGTACATACAAGTGGGTATGTACGACTGTACACATACAGATAGGCACGTGTGACTGTACATACAGACATGTGTGAATATACATGCAGGTAAGCATGAACGGCTGTACATACAAGTAGGTATGTACGACTGTACACATACAGATAGGTACGTGTGACTGTACATAGACATGAATGTACATGCAGGTAAGCATGCACGGCTGTACATACAAGTAGGTATGTACGACTGTACAAATAGTTATCTGGTTTATTTCCTTTCCCACGAAGTATCATTTAAACCATTACTCTGAAGAACACCTAAGTAAAAGCAACTAATCTTTTAAAGCAGAATTATCCACGATACTAATTTAGATCTAAACAAATTACAACTGGAGAGTACTAGATAGAATAAGATTAATTATCGGTGAGTCTACAGTAAGATTGTCAATTATTAAACCTACACTGTTAAAGGCTTGTAAATTGATTGGAAAACTTCTTTTTTGCTGTTGTTGTTGCTGAAATTAGTTTGATTTAGTAAGTAATTAATGATTCATTCTGTCATGAACCCGGTAATCTCAACGACCAGTTTCTAACTGTAACAGTGAAACTTTCAAGACGATATATATATTTCAAGGTACAATGTCTTTCGTTTAACAAACACTGACGTTTTGAAAAGAAACAACAGTTTCCTGTTGACTTACAGGAAAGCTACATTATTTAAGCATCTCTGCTAACATTAGGGATGATAATAGGTAATAAGATTTATGGCTTCAGTCTTGATCAAACTAGGCTTAAGACGACTGAACAATTCATCATCTGGGATCTGTTTTGAAATCCATTAGTGTCAATAACTATGCGAATAACGGAAGGCATGTTGAAACAAGGAATTTCCTTAACAAGCTTCTTCGCGGCAATGCTCACGTGATAGATTAGCCCCAGCGCCATCTACCTTAGGAAAAGGGTAAAATGTCAAGCACATGAAGATAATCCTAAGCTTACCGAATCATCGCTTTGATGCTCAGTCATAGAATTTACAGACACCCCTTTAACTTTCATGGTCATTAATGCTATACACCAAGACATTTTCGAAGATTGTTTCCAACAGTTATATACAGTGACGTCGCTCGACAGCGTACGAAGAGGCACGTGCTTCCCGTAAAAGGTATATACATAAAAGTATGATGATGTTTCCTCCAGTAACTATGAGAATAATTATGATAAAAGAATATTATCGATCTCAGTTTGAATCCCACTCTTAAATTCATCATTGATAATATTTATGATCAAGTAAGTATTTTGTTAGTGCAAAGCTATACAAAGGGCTATCTGCACTATGTCCATCGCGAGGAATCAAACCCCGGATTTTTGTGTTGTAAATGCGTATACTTACCGCTGACCCTCCGAGGTACAATAAAATAAATACGTGTAGAAAAATGAAATGTTTTAAACGTATTTCATATTTTGTTTGAAATACCCAAAACCCAAGGATTTTTAGGCTCTGTGGCCTACTTGTATTATGTCTGGAAAAGAAAAAAAAAAAAGAGTTCTATTAATGAGTGTATTACGAATTACTGAAAGTCACACACCTGTGATGATAAGACTGGTTTCTTTGTTATTAAGCGGAAAGCTACATAATGAGCCATCTATGCTATGTTCACCGGGGGGAAATGAAACCCGATTTTCAAGCGTTATAAGCCCTCAAACATAACGTTGAACCTCCGGGGAATGGAAAGAAAAGAAACTGGTGTAAAGTTGATCTTAAAAGTTCTACTTGGATACATTTCGGTTATATAACGAACACAAAACTAGATGACTGATAAACAGAGAAACATGATTAACCTAGTAGATCATTAAGACCTCATTATACCAAAAGATGGTAGTGAAAGCTATTTTGTCTGTTTTATATTATAATGTTTGAAACGCTTCATTACTCCTCTCCGTACTTTTTCTAACGAGAGTAGATATCCTCTACAATAGTGGTAAATAATACTAAATATGGGTTCTAGATACGTTTTTGGTCGCAAGTGTAGGGATACTTTATTGTTTAGTAGAAATCTTGCCATCTTAGGATATACACTTAAAGATGTGAACCAAAGCCGTGAAGACAGATGTTTATACTACTAAATAGAAACATTGATGGAATTAGAATATTTTTATCTAAAGAA